GTGTATAACATATTGTATGCACAGTTTGGTGCTATTTGAGTCTTTTATGTTTAGATAAGATATAATAACTTAACTTATATATTTACTGTAATATTACATAGCTTATCAACAGAAAATTCAAAGTAATATGTGTTCAACAAATTTCACAAGACAGAAGAATGTAATGTACTTTTTTTTTTTTAGATCTAGTTGTAAATATGTTTTAACAATAACTTTAATCACTAAACTATTATAACTCCTCTTTGTGTCTATAGACAAAAGTATAAGGCAATCAGACATTACTGGACTTGGTGTGATATTTCACTAGGATTAAAATATGATCATACAAATTGTATAGTTCTCATGATTTCAATCACAGGTTTATCGGCACTTTCTTGTTTTCAAATATTGAGTCTTACAAGCCACTTTATTGGAAGGTAAATTTTTTTTTATATATATTTATAGGACAAAATTATAAATTTGGGATTGCTAAAGCTATGTACTTATGCAATCAAGCATCTTATCAAATAGGTCAAAAAGCTTAGAAGTTCACTTTTCTCTTAACAATCCTTATATAAAGAGCGAACCTGAGGGTTGTAACAATGATAGTGACTATGAAAATCATAGTAGAAGTGATTCTCAAGGCAATAATAATTACAGTGGTTCAAAAGGTAGTTGTCAAGATTTTACTATTCAACTAAATTGGCAGCTTATTATCACACTTATATGTTATATTTTTAGACAGCTACAGGAACAGAGTAATTCATCTTTTGTACCTTATGATAGTATACTTAAGAGATTTCAATCATATAGATTTTATCCATGTTATAAACAAGAAATCGGAAAACATGTTTATAAATTAACAATATATAGTCATGACTATAATGTTGATTGTAAGATGTGTGTGTTTGAGTCACAAAGCCGTGGTCATTGTAATGATGATAAGTGCATATCACAACATTGGTAAGACCTTTAGATGAGCAGTAAATTAATATCAATAATAACAATTCTTTTCACTAAAAGCTAATTGAATTTTCTTAATTTACTATCAATTATTTAGACGAAGAATTGATTTCTAACATGTCTTCATATTATGAAAGATGTACTCCCATTGAACAACAGGAATACCATTCTAGTTTAGAAGCATTACTTAACAAACTTCGTGCGGAAGGGAAAACTAATGTTAATAAAATTATTGATGCTATTGTTATTTATTAGTAGGAGTTTGTTTCTAATTATCCATTTGACAATTTTGAAGCACCTTGTATAGTATTCTTTAATAATAAGAAACAGTTAGGTCAAGAAATTGATAATGAAGAAACATTATCAGCTTATAACATTAGTTATATATATTTCTGGAAATGAACAGGTTATGTATTAATCAGATAAAGATTTAGAGAATGATAACAATAATATACAGACAGGTTCAGAAGAGATCCTTAAATCTTTATATGAAATGCAACAAGACACTGTAGAAGATTTGAGACATATAGATATAGATTATTTTCAGGATCAATATCATATTTTACAAGGTTCATTTTTGATGAGCATGAAAGTAGTGATAGTGATAAATCTCAAGATGGAGGCATGAAAGTAGTAATAGTAATAAATCTCAAGATGAAGGCACAATACAGGATAAGCAAATGTATGTTCAACAAGGTGAAGAGACACTAAAATCACAAGGTACTCAAACCAATAATGAGTCTTCCACTCTATATTTTCTTTTACCATTAGCTTTAGCAAAAAATTGTAATCTTTCTGCATTTTTTTTTTTTAATAATCTTTTAGCCTATAATACTGTATCATCAACTTTTACAGCTGTTTTTATAAATTCCGGAACACCTGACAAAAAATTGATCAGCTGAATATTTGCTGATTCAATAATTTGTGATTTGGCAGTAATCATTACTGAAGTTACAAATGTATCGAATCAGCAAATATTCAGCTAGTCAATTTTTTGCCAGATGTTTCAGAGTTTATGAAAACAGCTGTAAATTCAATTTTGAGATCAGTTTACTGATAACAATTCAACCTTTTTACCAAGCAATAAGTGTGAAAAAAATGCAAAATTCAGAATCATGATACACAAGAATAGGATTAAGAAAAAGGCTAGATGAAACTTTCTACAGCAACACCAAAAAAAAAAGCACAGGAATTCGCTCTTCTCTTAACAATCCTTATATAAAGAATGGATCTGAGGGTTGCAACAACAATAGTGACTAGCAGAAGCGATTTCTCGAGGCAATAATAATTATGGTAAGTATAATCTCGTAATAACAAATTTAAAATTTGGATCAAGAATTATCTCAACAATAAAATATTGGTGATTCAAAAAGTGATTATTGAAACATCACTATTCAATTAAATCAGCAGCTTTTGTCATTAGCTTTAGCCAAAGATTGGCATTTTTTTTTTTTTTTAATAATCTTTTAGCCTATAATACTGTATTATCAACTTTTACAGCTGTTTTTATAAATTCTGGAACACCTGACAAAAAATTGACCAGCCAAATATTTGCTGATTTGATAAGTTTTGATTTGGCAGTGATCATTACAGAAGTCACAAACTTATCAAATCGGCAAATATTCGGCTGGTCAATTTTTTGCCAGATGCTCCAGAAATTATAAAAACAGCTGTAAATTCAATTTTGAAATCAGTTCATTGATAACAATTCAACCTTTTTACCAAGCAATAAGTGTAAAGAAAATGCAAGATTCAGAATCATGATACATGAGAATGGGATCAGAAAAAGGCTGAATGAAACTTTCCATGGCAACACTCTTCAAAAAAAGCACAGAAATTCATTCTTCTCTTAACAATCCTTACATAAAGAACAGACCTAAGGGTTGCAACAACAATAGTGACTATGAAAATCATAGCAGAAGGCAATAATAATTATGATAAGTGTAATCTCGTAATAACGAATTTAAAATTTGGATCAAGAATTATCTCAACAATAAATATTGGTGGTTCAAAATGTGGTTATTGAAACATCACTAATCAATTAAATCTTTTTGTTTTCTTTTGCCATTAGCTTTAGCCAAAAATTGTCACTATATCATCAACTTTTATAACTGTTTTCATAAATTTTGGGACATCTGACAAAAAATTGGCTGACCAAATATTTGCTGATTTGATAAGTTTTAATTCAGCAGTGATCATTACTGAAATCACAAACTTACTGAATTGGCAAATATTTTGCCAGATGTCCCAGAATTTATAAAAACAGTTGTAAATTCAATTTTGAAATTCTCAAAGCTATACGAATTAACACTAACTTTTCGATATTTCTAGGTTGATTACCCATTATAGGAAGTATAAGCATTGGAGTTGCAATATCCGTAGATTCACAATTATGGGCATTAGAGTTGCAGTATATATACAGGCATTGGAGTTGCAGTATATATAGATTTGTGATTACTAGCCGTACCATCATGACTTAAAGATACTTTGGTATTTTTATGAATAGTATAGCGAATTGAGGGAAATATTTAATAATTTAAATATGAGAATAATCATTATTTAATATAAATATTTAGATGTTAGAATTAGCTAATTAAAGAAAGTTTTCAACATCTGGTCTTAAAGTAGATCATATCACATCATTAATAGTGTTTTTTTTGATTAATTTAATAAAATATTTTAAAAGAGTGATAACACTTTGAGGAAATATGAATATATTAGTCCCAAGTACAAAGTATAGTATTTGATATTAGACTTGGAAAAGTGTTAGGTAAAGTAGAACTGATTTTTGATAGAGTGGCATATCAGCAGTCAGTGTTAGTAATTATGAAAAAGGTGTAGATTAGGTGAAAATTTGTGTAAATCTGTAAATAATATTAGAATAATTCTAATAGTATTTTTTTTTAAATGTGTTTTTAATAAAAAAACTTGATATA